GATGCAAATTAAAAGTCATCATTTTTAAATGAAGTCACACACTATTAAAAATAAGCAGAAAATTACATACTAGTTTGGATGTGTAGTTTATAGAATACACCAAATGTTAAAATTGAATGAAATTAAGAAAAACATTTTCCAAAGGCAAGTAAAATATCTGTTTAATTAGATCATAAAGAAAGGAGATTAAAAGTAATATTTTGTGGTACGGTAATTACTGTTTTTCAGAAGTAGTCAGGTTCCTGTGTGTTGATCTACATTTAACTGCGATAGCAGATCTCTTTGGGGTCTTTTGTTTTGTTTGTGTCTTTAATTATTTTAATTCGCAGCCACTACCTTTATTTTGTGTTCTTTGCACCGAACACGCTGCGTGGCTCTTTGCTCCTATACCCTGCCGGCTCAGGAACGCAAATCTGGGAGATGGGCCCGTACCCTCTGGTTCTGCGAGGTTTAAAGCCAAATCGTTGCAGGGCGCTATACAGCAAGATAACAGGAAAGGCGGCTGAAACCATTGGGAGGTGGGTTGAGGTGCTGATGGGAGCCTGAGATGTAAATAAACCAGATTGCTCTCATTTCCTCTTTCCACTGTATTATGCATTCCAATAGCACTATTTATCTTTATGACAGACACCTATTGCTTCAACTTTACTGCGGGCCACTGAAGTACATTAAAGTGGGCAGGAAATGGAAATAAATAGAGTTCAGTGGAGGCTGCCGAATAACTAAATGTGCTGCAGTCGTTTTCAGTGCGGGGTCATGCGGTTTTTAGCAGATTTATTGTATTGCTTGACTTTTGTTAGAAAGATGGGTGCTGTTTAAAAGAGATGCAGTATACTTACAAGTAAGAAAATGTGCTTGGATATTTATTTTTTTTCCCTCCAAGATCGTTGAGATGCCAAAGATGAAAAGAAATTGGGTTGAGCCTCAGCTGGGTAGAGCCAGTGGGGTACGTCTCTGTGCAGTACCTCAGGTTGTGGTTAGAAACAAAATAATCTGATTGGAGATTTGAAGAAATCCTGCTAGTGAACAGCACGGGAAGAGGGCCATAGTCCATTGACTTGAATTAATCTTCCATCTAAAGATGGTGAGACAGTCAGGTAGAAAGGCTATCTGGAGTTTGGCCTTAAAAATGCATGTATTTGTTTAATGCATGTGCGTTTTTGCTCGCTTTGGAAATGTGGATTGCTTTCCTGCTTACTCAGAGGGCTATATCCAAGGACAACAAAGTTACACTGCAAGTTCCAGATACTTTTAACCCTCAGGAGAGGGGACCTCTTTCTGGTGAATTCTGTTTTTGTGAAAGCTTTGTGTGTTTGTTTTTCCTTGACTGTTTATATTCTGATAAGATTAGGTCAGTAAATGAATGAATTAACAGCATGACTTGAAGGCTTACAGCTCATATTTTCACTCCCTTGAGACAGCTACTTGGAAATTTTACTATTTAAGAAAAAAACAACCATTAGTGCTTTTTTTTTTCTTGATTTTTTTTTCTTGAGCGGTCTTTGATTTTGCTGAGTGTAGTGTTCTCTTTTTCTGACAATGATTGCTATGTAATTGAAGTCAAGCTTCAGCCTTCAAACTATTTGTCAATGTAGAAGATACTAGTAGATATTTCACAATGTCATGCAAGATGAAAACTAATTTGTAAGCAGCACGGCAGAAATCTGGAAAGACAATTAAGACAACAATCATTAACATTGATTCTTTTGCACTGCTAAAGTACATTCCTTTCTCCCAAAATATCCTTTAAAAATGTTGTTTACCTAGGTCTGTATTTAAGTATATATTTCAGTGTGACATATATAATTCAGTGATTCTTCTTCTTTCTTTTTTTAATTATCTTTATGTCAAGAATTTAGTTTCATTCAGAATCCTGTTCCACATACACTCGTGCTGCAGAAACTAGTGCCAGGCAGAATTGCAGGTAATTACTGAGGACGGTTGCTGGCGATTTGACTTCTCATCATTTGTTCGTCATCATTTGTTCGCACTCTGTGGATAGTTCCTCGCTGAAAGGATTAGGTTACAGATGGGTGGGTATTACTTTAGGGACTTCTTAAGTGAGAATCCAGATGCCTTTCTGGCGTCTTCTCCTCTTGCTTAGTTTGGGAGTTACAAATCAGTAGCTGCAGGTAAGATTTAAAGCTTATATCTTTGTTTCTCTTTTGCAGTGGAAAAGATCTCTTTTATTCCTTGTTAACTAAACAAATGATCTAATTACAGAGTTTAAATACTTGGGAAATTACAGATTGAGCTAAAATTTCAGAACAATCTAAGGGTGTTTTTTTTTTTTAAGTGCAATACCAGTGACAGGCTGCTTCGGGTTTTCAAAAGAGTTGAGCTCCAGCAAGGACATTTGGTGGTGTGTGCTTTTGAAACCTTGGCTATGATTTTGGTGCCTAAGCAGTGGCAGGGCTTTTCAGAGCTGTTGGCCTTTGGCTGCATCCCAGTAGCTTTGAGTATGTCTGTAGCTTCAAGGGCAGCAGTCCTGGGCTGTAGTATTTCACAGTTGTGAGATGGGGGTTTTGTTTGTGTACCCCACATGCAGCACCTCAGTGTTACCCAAATAGCTGAAACCCTTCTTGGTCCTTGCGGGTTTTCACAGGGAGGCAGCAGCAGTTGACGTGTACATCTGAGAGGTGAGCATGAATTAAATGACTGTTTCTTTCTTTCTGTTATATGTTGCTGGATATGTTTTCAAACCTGACCTGATTTTCCCTACTCCTGGTTTCAGAGAGAAAGCCTGAAGGCAAACTCCAGGCTAAATGCAGCTGGTGTTGAACTAACTGAGTGTTTTGCCATATGTTCTATCAGGAGCACAATCCTGGTTTCACAAGTTTACCATCCTGCCTGGTTGAGCTTGGAAGGACTTGCAGACCATGTCCGTGTGCAGGCAATTTGCACGTCTGTTTAATCTCTCAGTAGCGGTTTGCAAGCTTGCTTGCGTCTGTAAGAACTGTTTGCTGAAACCCAGTGGTAGATTCAGGCATTTCAGAAAATTCTTGCTCATATAAGTACATGTAATTTTCTTGTGCCTTGACCTCGCTGGGAGCTGCTGGGCTCCCCAGTGCAATGGTCCCTACTTGGACCATTTATTTTACTCTTCTAATGGTCTGTGATATTTGAATATCTAATTCGTTAACAAGCTGTGACTGAAATTAGGGTTTTGGTTTCTGTAGTGCGAGGGAAAGCTGTGAAAGTTACAGCATCCCAGTATTTTGCTTATCCTGCTTGTTCAGAAGGTAAGAAGAGCAGTTGGAAATTAGGTGTGACAAAGGTAGCATAGTTTATTTATGCTGTGCAGGAAAAAAAGGAGTCATCTTTGTAGTACAGTAGACTAAATTGGTTTTGGAGCACTGTTTGGAACATAGGCTTGTGTATGTTTAATTTCTGTGCCAACCCCCCCAGCAACTTGCACACTCCTTTTGTCTGGCTTGGCTTTTTGCTGCTGGAGCCGTAACAAGGATGGCTTTAACTGCCTTCCCCCTCCCACATGTGTCTCACACATTTGGTCACTCAAGTTTTATTTCTTCCCTCTGTAAAACATGAGAGTGTAACTTCCACCCCAGCCTTGTTAGGGTGCGAGCTGCCGACACGGGGGCTCCCAAGACCAGGCATTGTCACCGGGTAGTAAAACCTCTTTAATGCGGCTGGCTTAACTTTTAAGTTATACCTAATGTTTTTAACAGTAACTTGTGTTTCCTCTGCCCTTCACGCCCAACCATTAGCCAGGTGTTTTTGTCGCACAGAGTGGAAAATTAGAAGTAATCTAACCGTACAGCTGGGCCCTGGGTGAGGTGGTGGAGGAGGATGGCCACAGATGCAAGCTGGGAATCATGAAGGCTGGATGAGTTAAAAGGCTTCTTGTAAATGCTTGGCAAAATACAAGTACTGGAAATGAGATGGCTTGCTCTTTTTTTTTTTTTTTTAAATTATAAATAAATTAGAAGGTTTAAATTTAGCATGCTGTGTGCTTATATGGTTGGCTTTGCATAATTTTCTAAATAAATAATTTTTAACTTCTTTTTTGTATTTCCCCCCTTAATATGGCACCCACTCGATTTCCTTGTAACTGCAAGACAGGCCTGGCTCTGATCTACCTTACACTGTAAACTGTTTATGGAGCTAGAATTGGGGTCATTAATTTTCTTTACATCAAAAGAAGTCATTTCTTTTTAAATGAGAAGCCTGTTTCACCTAGGAATTCGCTTTAATTGCTTATTTGAAAACTTTTGACATTTGATAGCAATTTAAACATTGCCAGATGAGGCTCCCGCAGTTGGGACCTGCAGGTGCTTCCTTGTGGTGCCCAACATGGATCAAAGGCGCTGAGCCTGAGGATGTTCCCGGCTGCGGACGGGGCACCCGACGCTGGAAGGTGCTGCTTGAATAGATGCTGTGTGTCAGCCTCGGTGAGAATTTCCTCAGAGGGCTCTCCCTTGGAAAGGTTTCTGTGGAGTGCAGTGCTGTTTGTTTTTCTTGGGAGGTAGACTGCATGGCCTTTGTTTTGCCTGAGGCTTAAAAGTGCTTCCAGCGCTGAATCTGGATGGTTTTTTAAGTGTAACCAACAGCACTTTCTGCTGAAGGCTTAGAAAAAAGTTTCTAAAATATTAATTACTTTTTTTTTTTCCCTCCCCTAATATCTGTTAACTTAGTATTATCATCTTCTGGGAGGTTTGGAGGGAAAGAATGTTCTTACTCATGAGAGTAAGCAAATGGTGCAGCTTCAAAGGCATTTTTACCGGGATCTAAACCTCAGTAAAGAGAAGAGACAAAAATGAAAGTGTCTTTCACGTGATTTTTTTAAACTGATTCACTAGTGTGAATGCAATTTATTGTTCTGTTAGCAGCAGAAGTAGCTTTCCTTAAGCTGAGAAGTATTTTTTTAAGTCAGTAAATACACAATAATTTAGATTATTGTGGAAGGAGCAAGTTTTGTTAATGGCTTTCAGCTGTGGAATCGTGTTGTGCTAGATATACTCACAATGGTTTCTATCAGCATGGCGCTGTGTCTTGTGAGGCAGGTTGAAAGCTGTTGCAGGAGTAGTTCAGCAGCTGAAAAGGAGCTAAATTCTGTGTGGCTGCTGAAGTTAGGCAGTGTTTTATGACTTTCTGAATTCAGAGCAAAGGGAAGTAGTGCAGTTGAAAGAGAATGAGTAAAGCCAGAGTACCAGTGCCAAGACTGCTTAAAAGAGTTTTATTGATGTGTGTTGTAATTAAAACCAGAATTAGTTAGTTTTCTAATAGGACATTCATTTCCTAGAGAGCAATTGCAGCTTGGCATAAATGAGTACTGATCTGGGGATACCCCCAGCATATGTTGGATGGCTGACTTACTAGCTTTGCGTGCCTTTATTATTAACAAGCAAATTAAATATTCTTACTTAAAATAATTCTACAAATAAACCTTTGGCTGTACTATGATTTCATTAAAATGTTAATTGTTTAGAGAGCTTCAGCAAGAGTGTGTGAAGTTGGGTCAGTTTTACTGCCTGGTGCTAAGTCCGGATAGCAGATTTACAGCAGCGCTCTGCACTAATCTTTACAGTAGCAGGCTTGGGGTGGGAAGGCGTTTGTGTGTTTCAGGAGACAGGTGACTCTAGCTTTGAGCTGGAAACACAGAGCTGGCTTTTAAAATTCCTGGGCAGCCTTAAAATGAACTAGCAAGGGAGAGTGGAGTGGGGGGATTGCTCTGCGGACACAAAATAGGTGTTGCTTTTAAATCAGCTTCTTAGCGTGCACGTTGTCACACCTTCACACATGGCTGTAGTTTCAAATCTATTTCTCATCAAAACAACTGTAGCGTAAGGGAATATTGTGACCATCTGGGTTGCAAAGATCAGGAATAATGGTCCTCGCTAGCAGAGGAGCCAGCTGTGGGCAGCACCATGTAAACTGGTTTTTATGCCGCTTGATTAATCATTTCTGAGGGTGAGGACAACAAAATGTTTACCAGGTCATGCACTAATTTTTTTGAAATACCAATTTTCCTGGGTCTGAGGTGGTGGTAGGCCTCTGAAACATATTATGATATTTGTAGGTTCAGCATCTCAACCAGCATTGCTCCTGAGCATGGGGAACACAGGTGCATTAGATGTCTCCAAAGGAGAGTTAATTAGAAGAATGAGTAGTTATCAAGTACACCACAGCTCCACTGTTTAATTCTGATGATAATTTTCATGCTGGGTCTAATATAAATGAATTCACTTATAGTTCATTAATCGTCTGTGACCCGTGCGTCTTTTAGGGTATTCAGGAGGAAAAAGGCTGAGAGTTACCAGAATAGATTTCTGTGGGCGGAAAGCAAATCACAAGAAAACTTTTGCCTCTTTCTTTCTTTTTATCTTTCTGAATGTCATGATCTAACTCAGCATGTTGGTTTTTTTTTTCTGCATTTCCCCACTTCTTTAGGACCCACGATTATCAGCTTTAATTTTTGACAAGCTTCAAGTGCCTGACTATTTACAGAAGAACAGGAATGAAGGAGAGAGCAGATGCGAAACTTGTGCCACTCACTTGAATCAGCTGAAGCAGGAAGCCATTCAGATGATGCACACCCTCAGTCAAACCAACTATCCAGAAATGCCCGACCTCCTGCCTGGTGCCGGGGCAGTGACTGCCATGGTACCCAGGATGGTCACTGTCTCTTCCCAGAGAGACCTGCCGCTCATCGCTGGGCAGGTGGGCAGGCAAACTGGAAAGTCAACGAATCTCTTCTCTGGTGGAGAGAGGAAGAAGGGACTTGGATGGTCTCAAGGTGCAGGCAGTTTTCCGAACTCCAGCGTTCAAGTCACGGTGGCTCCCGGAGGTCTCAGCGGCGCTTTGAGCTCTGTCACCATCCAAGCTCAGCAGTACCTTGAGGGCATGTGGAGTATCTCCAGGGTGAACAGCTTCCTGCCTCAGGCTTGTCTAGTAAGTAGCGATAATTTAGATGCTTGAGTTTTGTTTACATATGTGTGGATATACAAAGAGATAAAAATAAAATTTGAGATGTAGATGTACCTATCATAGAGAGGATCACCTAACAGCATTCTAAACCATGTTTCAAGAGCTGGAAAGCTAAAAAAAAAAAAAAAAGCTTTGAACAATATTCTGTCAAATGTCACAAGGAATTTGCTGTATCTCAGTGAGATTCTTTCCTCATATTTTTGCACCTATTTTAGCTTCACGTGTTCAGGTGATGTTATTGGGATGTCACATACCTGGTAGCCTCATTAAAAAAAAACAGAAAAGGCCAAGTTTGTCACATATGAAACTCTGGGAGCTTCATGAGATTATATAAAAGATTAATTTGACCCTCAAGCATAGTGCTGAACTTCTAAGGCTGTCTTCAGTTCAGCAGATGCTGTTGACAGGGTGTGATGGAGAGCATTAATCTTCAGGTTAGATGTGCTGCAAAACAGTTTGCTGTAAAGGAAGGTGTTCAGAAGGTTGCTTCAGAGCCATATGCCTGGAAATACCATTGTACTTGAAGTGTTGATGTTGATTTCCTGTATTCTCTCTGTGTTTTAAGGACTCTTGTGGGAAATGGAAAAGCATTACAGATGTGCATGTTACCATTAAAAGCAGGTTCATTACAGATTTGTGACCGTCTGTGGACTGTCTGTGCTAAGAAGGATGATATAGTCACTGGTTTTGTCTGAGATTTATTCCTAAACTGTTTTCACATGGAAGCGAACAGGGGAATGTGACTAATAATGGAATGTGTACAAATAGAAGTCGTGGGTTTAACTTAAAGATGTTGTAGCAGGTCTTGCAAGACCAAGTATGTTGGTGCTAGACAGCTTTAATTTTAAAATAATGCCTTGTGTGCTGTTGTATATAAACACTACCTAATATTGCTTGGTAGCTTCAGCTGGTTGAGCTCCAAGATCATCAGAGGTAAAATATTTAAGAGTGCTGCTGTGTAACATTATTTTTACAGGGTGGCTGTTGTATTTCCTTCCAGAAAAGGCTTGGAGATGTGATTCCTCCCTTCCATACTTCTCTGTCATGTGGCAAGATGTGAATGCATGTACATCCCACCTTTGAGGGGTCCCCATTTAAATCCAGTGAATCTCCAGTGATGTCACGTTGCTCTCTGATGGTTTTACACTGAGAAAAGGGACAAAACTGGCCAATTCAGCTCCGTGCTTTATGAGGAACTGCTGCTATGAGTGCTTTTCTCTAAAATTCTGATCCGTGCATTAGGGATCGATTTGGCCAATGTAAGGCGTATGATGTTACCTTTTTAATTATCTTTTAAATTCTATGTATATCACAGGAATGTGGGGGGGTGGGGGGGGGAAGGGAGCCTGCACTCTCTGAAAGCAGAAGCATTTCCATTTCTCTGCTCATTCCTTGTCTGCCCTTAGTCTTGTCTTAAATAATTTACTAACAGCCAGCTCCAGATTTCTTCCTGCTTAACCATGCTGACTGATAGATGTGGTTTTCCCTAACCACTGCATTATTCGAAGATAAAACTGAGTTGCCTCGTTTAACCCCTGTGAAGGAAGAATGTGTGTAATACAACAGAGCTTAAGTGTGATCTAGAAATGTGCAAAGCAACTTGGTAGCCTGGAAAACAGTGACCTTTAATGAAAGGACAAACACTGTTAGACTGTGAGTGTTGGAGGCTGCTTGGATACAATCCAGTCATCTGCAAAGACAGTTTAGATATAGAAGCAGTTTTTGGAAAGACGCTAGACTTCAGTTGTTTTCTCTCACTATTTTTCATTTTTTTTTTTTTAAAATTCATTTAAGCTCAAACAGTTACTGAAGACTGTTTTATGTATCTCTTCCCAGATTGTGCTTTCTGTGTCTGTCTGAATTCTACTTCATTTTGTATTATTAAGAGCCTTGTGTCTGATGAAGCTATCTGGGTGGTTGAGGCAGAAAGTACTTCCCCTGTATTTTCCCCTGAGGAATCACAGGTGTTGAAGGAAATAGAATTGGAGGGATTTCAAGAATCAGCTACTATAGCCTTTGCCTAGAACAGCATCCACTGCAGGACATTGGGACATTCTTGTCCAATTCTCATCTCACCTCATCTTACAATTTTGGAAAGACTGAGATTCCCTGACTTCTCTTGATAGTCAAGTCTGAACTCTGTATTCTGTTAGAGTACTTTACTTGATTCACTATTTTTTGTTTGTTTGTTCTTTTAAAAAAAGAGGTTATGGAGATGATTTTGGTTACCTGGAGACAGGATTTATGTTTAATCTTAAACCCAGGAGAGGGCTGTGGATATGCAGAGTTTTCAGGATATTTGCCTTTAGGAACCTTTCCTTTTCTTATGAGACAAAGCTGGTCTAACTGGAGGAATTCTGGAGCAAGAAGAGTTGCAGTAGAAAGAACAGCACTGAATGTACTGTTTATTATTTGTGATGTGATTGCATCTTGGAGTCTTCAGCCCTCATTTAGGCAAGGTACTGCACAAATGCAGAAGAAAAAGATGGCCCCTTTCCTGGAGGCCGATACACCTGGGTGTATGGCTGCCAAACCTCAGGGAGCATCATGCCTACAGGATCCATATTTCTTATTTATGGTTAGTTTTAATAGTGGCAGTAGTGGAATTGTCTGCAGAGATTAAAAAAAAAGACTTGATTTCTGCTCTTCTCATCTCTCTCCCCAAACTTATGTTACCTTGTAATGTCACTTACAGTTGCAAAAGCACTTCTGGACTGGATGTCTGGGGTCAGAAGTGCAGGACATCATAAATTGTTAATATATGTGTGGAGTTCAAGTGTGAAAATCCATTACATAGATTATAAATTTTTTGAACAGGAATGCATCTTCAAAGCATAGCGTGGGTGCTGCTCAGACCAAAATAATAACCATGGGCTTCAGAAGCCATGAAGAGGAACAGTAATTAAGGATTATGAGGAAGGTCCAGGGAGAGGAGGACTAGGATTGCAACCAAGGTGCAAAAGGTGAAGATGTAATCAGCTGCTTTACCCAAGTGGCCTGTTGTGAAAAATTACAAAAAATAATCACCAGTAGCAGTGATAAGCAGTCTGACCAGACAGCTAGCACTGTGGAGGGGAGGGAGCTGTTATAACTCTGGGCAAGACAGCTGATTTGTAGTGGACAACTGACAACTTCAATTAACAAATAGTTTCATATTGATGTTTTTAGTTCTAGACCTGACAAGTGAATAAAGGTTACTACTCAAATGAAAAACCACGTTAGTGGTGCTCAGCATTGCCGCTCAATTTAACACGGAAACAGAGGAGTGGGGGGTGTTCAGGCTTCCTAGATGTGTTAGAATCTGGTTGAAAGATAAATTTTCAGGTATTGTGGAAAAAAGATGTCTTACTGTATGCTTTCAATTCACTGTGTTATTAATATGCAGTGTTATGTACTGCATGAAAGTGGTAAAGTAGCCATGCCATGTGCTATAAAGACATCACAGTGAAATAGAGCTTGTTTTGCAAATTGCCTTGACTTTCGTCTTATGCAAACTGGAATCCTTTGCATGCTGTATTTCTGATTTGAACACATACAACTGATCCTGGCTATAAGGCAAAAATATTGTGGCTCCTTGAATCTTTACCGGTTTTTTAAGTTGCCTAAAAAATGTGTTAAAAATGCATGATTAGGAAACTGGAAAAGTTGGAACACTATAAAATTGGAAGTGACTTAAGTAAAACTTCTAAAGCGTTTCTATATAAAATTGTAAATTTGGCAAAAGTCCAGTGTATGTCCCTGAGAGTATCCGCAAAGTTAGGTATAAGTTTACGGCCTGATTCAGTGAGGCTCAGAGAGGGAGGGTTCAACCCACAGCATGTGTAAATGGCTGCATATGCTTTAAAGTTAAAGGACTTATGTTCATTTGTTTCATGTAAAAAATCTCTTGAGTTATTTTAGTCACAAATAAGCTTTCTTGTAGTTCTTAGGCATAAGTCTTCTGCTTACCCTAATCTAAACCAGATGGATTCATCTGAGGGTAGTTCAGCCTCTGCTGACTTTCCTTAAATCCTCTTTGTTTGTTTATAGCAAGGGTGACTTACATTTTGCTTAGGAGATGCAATAAAAAGCTGACTGGAAAACAGAAGAATGACAAGATTTACTTTCCAACATTTACTTTTTCACTTTGATAAATGTCATACCAAATGGATTGTTAAATTAATTTTTAAAATCCTCTGTGATAGCTTTCTTGGTGACCTTTTATTAAGACAATGCGTGAAATATATTTTGTAACAAAACAATTAAAATATAGTGCTTTGACCATAAATCTTGTCTGTGAGCCATCTGGATGACTGAGCCTTGGGACAGTTCTCAGACTCCACATATAACATCTTGATTCTGCAGAAGTCAATAGTAAACACCAGACAGGTGGTGGGGCAAGGGCTGTATAGAGGCTTTTCTGCTTTCCCTTTGGCTTTAGTGATGCTGGTGTTACTGCTCTTGTAGAGGAAGTACATAAAGGAAAAGGGGTGGCAAAAAAAATAAAAAAAAAAATCTTCTTCGTAACAAGTCTGAACAGCAGAAGGAAACTTTTTGATTTATAGCCGCTGTGGAAAAGAACTTTGAGACTGTTGCATCTCAGCTGGATGGCAATACCTTGTCTGAGCAAATGCTGGAGAGATGGGATGTGGGAGGGTGATGGTGCTACTGGCATCGTGTTCAGAGTCAGCGGGACTCTGACCCAGCAGCCAGGTAGCACATTGGCTTAGAAAATGTGGAAATTCAGCCTTAAACATGCAGAAAACAAATGCAGCCCTCCGTTTTGTGTAGGTGCTAAGGTCTTTGGACCCTTTTCTTTTTTCTAGATTGCCCACAGTGTAGAATGCTGAAGGTGAAAATGAAGCTATTTTTTAATGTATTCCTAGATATCAGAGTGACTTTGGAAAAATGTTCATAGTTGACAGAAAGAGTATTGTAGTGGCTACAAGATGGAAATGAGTATTTTTCTTAGGTGAGGGTATGGA